TTCGATTTTGGTGTATGAACTCCTGGCCACTGTTCCCACCTCAGGACAGCTCTGAAGGGCCATTTTACCTTCAGTGCTTCTGTGGCATAGGCTGGGGCTCTCTTTGCACCTGATTGCTGGTCAGCATCTCCCTCTGCCCCTTCCAGGTCCTTTCCCCTCCCTTCCACGGGTGACCATCCCAAGGGCTCTCCTTGGAGGAGAGGCCCTAAATATCCTTCTCACTCACTAAACTCCAACTCAGGGTCTGGTTCCCAATGACCCCCAAGGAATCATACCTCTTGTGTCCACACTCCTTTGCAGTGACATGCAGAGATGAAGTCTATTTCTCCACCCCTTGAATCTGAGCTGGCCTCATGCCTTGTCTTGCTTTGACAAGGAGAATGTGTAGAAGTGACTTTCTGGGACTCCAAAGTCCAGGCTCAAGTGGACTTGCAAGTTTCACTTTTGCTCTTGGAACCCAGCTGCCACGTAAAAAGTCCAGGCTGTCCTGTTGGAGGAAGGCTGTGTGGAGGAGAACTGAGGCCCCCAGCCGACAGCAGACAGCATGACCCCAGACATGTGAGTGGGCTCACCTTGGATCCTCTAGCCCCAGGTGGGCCACTCCAGCCAACACAACAGGGAGCAGAGATAAGCGTTCCCCCTGAGCCACCCAAATTCTGACTGACAGAATTGTGAGTAATAAAATGATTGTTACGTGAAGCCCCTAAGTTTTGGGGTGGCTTGTGATCAGCAACAGATAAGTAAAGCTGCATGGCTGCACCAGCAGGAAAGGCCCATGGCTCATGATCAAGTAGGGCAGGCACCCATGCATTAGAAAACCTCGGAGGGACTGGCCTTCCTGCCAGCTACCACAGGGTTAAATACAGCTTTTATCCCCCAAGGATGAGGCTCAGGCTGTTTTGTCATCCTGGAGCCCATCACTGCTCATCTCATCTCCACTCCTGGAACAGGGAAATGCCAGTGTTATTACCTCTTAAGCCTCTCTGTGTCTGTAGAGAGCAGTGCCTCACTGCCAAAGGAGCAAATGAGGCCCAGCTTTGTGCAGAAACATTCATCGTCCTGCGCTGCTCCAGGCAGAACCCCAGCATATATTTCCCTTCTGTGGGAGCTGGCTCAGACTGCATCCATCTTCACGAGCTCATTATTCATCTGATTATTTTCATGCCGTCCCAGTGGGAAATGAAAGCCATCAATAAATCACACCACTGCTGCAGATTATATTAAACGACCTGGGCAGAATGCTGGCTGTGCCAGTCTCTGTGACCATGAGGGCCAGGGCCACTTGTGCAAGGTCCTCCTCCCGGGCTGAAGAACACTTGCTCTGCTTTCACCCCAGACATGAATCCACCTCTCCATTGCCCTTGATATCCTTCGTGTGATTAAAATCCATGAGCACAGAAGCCCTGGCCATGTCAGAAGGCCTGAGTTCAGCCTCTGCGTTAGCTGTGTGACTTGGGGCTGGCTTCTTGGCCTCTCTGAAGCTTGGGGCTCCTCATCTGTGAAACATCCAGAAATCCTTGTTGTGAGGACAAAATGAGAAAATGAATGTGAGACTTGCACTCTGAGAAGTGCATATGTGCACACGGGTGGCATCATATGGTCTTTACTTCAGAGTAACCGTGACACGTAGAGGGTACCATGGGAGACACGTGCTAGATTGGACATTGAAGAGCCATGAGCAATCACGTACGATTTCTTAACTTTAGATCCTCATGTTTCAAATGGACCCAGTAGTATTTGCCCCATCAATTTCACAGAGCTATTGCGAGGCTCAAATCAAATAACAGTTAGGGGAGCCCTTCGGCAAAGTATTAAGTTGTACAAACATAAGCTGCCTTACTGAATCATTTCTTCTCTGAACTCTGTTGTTTTGTTTTGTCTGCTTTGCTTTTACCCATCTTCCTATTTCTCTGGTTTTCAGTATTATTGTGAATCTTCCCCAAGACATTCTAAGATAATCAAGAAAATTTGATCCAGTTGGGTTTTTTGGAAGGAGAAAGCAACTGCCATTATTGAGTACTCATTCCATTTCAAGCTTTCCAATATGTTACCTCATTTAACAGCCCTCTAAATGGACATTATTTGTCTATTTTCCTAAGGGAGGGGACTGGGACTCAGAGAGGCCAAGTATCTGCTCAAAGTCACAGAACGGGAATTTGAGCTCAGTTCTGTTCCATCACATCACACTGGAGACTCAAGAGCACTGTTTTTCTTTCATTAGAGAAACTTACCCATATTTTCACGGCCCCCCCCACTTTTGACATTTCTTATCTGTCACAATTAAGACTCCTTTAGTTAAAACTCTTTGATGGGTTCAAGGGCCATGTGAAGTTTTTGATAGTCCAGACAATCCGTGGTGAGAAAAAAAAACAATATGATGAGCTGATTCACGAGGTGGAAAAACTTTCCCATGGATGCGTTACATCCAAGTGCCTCTGCACCAAGGAACCATTTCAGGAGAGCCACAGTCTCTCTATGGAAGGTTTGAGAACATGAGAATGTTGTCTTTTTTAAACAAAGGATGGACTGATCACTTTAGGAAGAGAATTGGTTAGCATATCTACTGGGTTCAGGAGAGCCTCGGAAGTAACACCTTCCTACCCTACCCTAGTTTCCGAATGTCCTGAGAAATACAGCAAGAGAATAAGGCATATAAACACCAAACTAGCTCCTTTATGATTGAACTTGATATTTGGGCTTTCTAACCTCATATTTGGATAGATGTACCCACCTGAAATATTGGCTTGGGAATTTTCGCTCTTGGAGGAGTATAACAGAAGATGTGCTTCCTTAGGGCAACCTGTGCCCAAGAGAAAGTGCAGAAGAGGCTGGACTGCACACGCCCACTTTCTCTTTTGTAATGCTCCAATCTGAGTGAGGCCAGAAGTGTTACAAAGAATGGTGTCCCTCCATGCAGAATGAGACATGAGGGGGGGATAAGCTCCCCCCTGCACCCCCCACCCTCGCCGCCAAACAATGACATTGGAGTTTGAGGAAAACAGAAGACTAGCTAGAGCACTGTAGAATTTTCTAGAAAATATTGTTTTTAATTGTTGAGGTGGAGAGCAGTCCAGAATGAGACTTTTAGGTTGATTAAACAGGGATCAAGGCATAGAAGAAGAAGAGGGGAAATGAAGTTTTTTCCTCAGAAATTACCACCTAATAAATGTCAGAGACATTCTTGTAAGCTGAATAGGCAGTGAAAAATGGTTGAGACAGAGGACCCCAATTCGGGGCACCTGTTGGAAGTCCTAATAAAAAGATTGCCCAAGTTTGATTCTGAAGGCTGTACTAGGAGAGGGAGAAAATACCTTTGGCCCAAACTTTATTTGACTCATGTTTCAAGAGCTGGTCTATTCCACGCAGAAAAATTCCACCAAAAAGCATTTATGGCATAGCTTTGACGCTAAATGATTGATTTAGTCTGAATGATACATGTTTGTAAAAGCAACTATAGTGATGCCTGATAATGAAGGACTAGGTAATTTGGATTAGCTCTCCCACTTAGCACAGTAAGAAAAGCCAGACACAATATTATTTTTAAAAATCTGCTTGAAGACTTTAGTCAGCTAACATAATGGTGAAGAATATTAAGGAAGAACAGAACTTATGAGAGCTAAATTCAGAATTTGGGGCTCTCAGAGTATGTTCTCTGACCAACATTGAATTAAATGAGAAATCAATAATAATAAGATATTTGGAAAAACACCTACATATTCAAAATTAAACAATGTAGTTCTATATAATCCCTGGGTCAAAGAAGAAATCCCAAGGAAATTAAAAAGTGTTTCCAACTGCATGAAAATGAAAATACAATAACTAAATTTGTGGATTTAGTTAAACCAGTGTTTAGAGGGAAATGTATAGATTTAAATGCTTATATTAGAAAAGATGAAAGGTCCAAAACAAATGCCCAAGTTTATCCTTTAAAAGCTAAGGGAAAACAAAAAAAGGGAGGCAAAGTAAACCCAAAGTAAGTAGAATTAAAAAAAGATAAATGCACAAATTAATATAGAAAAGATCAAATAACACAAAAAATTAACAAGGTCAAAAATTGTTTCCTTGAAAAGATTAACAAAATTGGTAAATCAATCCCTAGCTACAGTGATCATGAAAATACAGAGAGAAGACGAATGACTAATATCAAGAATAAATAAAGCATTATTACCACAGACATTAAAAAGTTAGTAAGGGGGTGTTATAAATAACTTTATACCAAAAAAATCAATGCCATAGATGAAATGGACACATAACTTGAAAAATATAGTTGACAGGAAATGTCACAAAAGGAAACAGAAACTCAGAATAGCCCTGTATCTATTAGATAAAATTGATTGGTTGTTAAAATACAACAACAACAAAACTTCCCGGAAATAAAACTCTGGGCTCTAATACCCTTACTGGTAAATTCTATAAAAAATTTAAGGATGAAATAAAATAATACCAATCTTATATGAAATCTCTTAGAAAATAAAGAATGTGGGACCACTATCTGACTAAATTTTTGAAGTAAGCATAACCCTAATACCAAAAATCTATGCAAGATATTGCAGAAATAAAGTAAAATAAAATTAGATAAATACCCCTTATGAACGCAGATACAAAAGTTCTTAACAAAATTTTAGCAAATTGAATCCAGAAGGCTAGTGCCCCTGTGTGGCTGCCAGGTCTGAGGGTTTGCAGCAGGGGTCGCTCTTGGTTCAGCAGGCAGGGAAAAGTGAGGACAAGCTGGGGTCCAGAGGGACCCCTGCATATGTCTGCCACCACATCTAACCATGATGACCTTTAGAAAGGAACAGCTGATGTTTCACTTCTACCTTCCAAATCTATATAAGAAAAAATTGGGGGTTAGGAGAGGTGGACAACTGTACCTGACTTCTACAGGTAACTCAGGGATTCTGGGAAGCCTAATTTCGGTTTAGCCGAGCTGGCACATTCCAAACCCTGAAATCAGCAGAGCAATGACCTGCAGGGCAGGTTGATGCTAGTGTCATCGAGGGGGCACATGGGGACTTCTGGGGGGCTTGCGACATTTCTAGCCCTGGGTTATGGCTACGTGGATGCTCACTCTGTAGCTGTACATTTTTGTTTTGTGAACTGAACGTATGTAATATTACAAAATCAAACTGAAAAAAAAAAAAAGCAACTGTGACGCGTCTCTTTCCCACTCTACCACCTACTTTGAAGCAACTAGGCCATTCTGTGCTGATTCTTTCTGGAGAGGAGATGATAGCGAAAATGCAAAGAAAAACTAGACTTTTCCCCCTGACATTTTGCATTTCAAAACTTAAGCTCTTCAGGTAATGGAAAATTGCACAACCACTCTACTGTATAGACAAATGTCAATAGTGGACTTGGATTAAAGGAAAACCCGGACACAGGCATTATGTGGGTAAATCAAACAGTGTTTATTTATCTAAAGTAAACAGATGGAGGCCATGAAGTCAGGCCACAGAGTGGAGAGACTAGCAACGTTATTTGGGACAGACAGAGGTGACCACGCAATAGGCTCACACTTGTGTATGATAATGTCTGAGCGAGGGTGGCAGCAGACCTTTTTGAAGCTTGACTGCCCCCATTTGTGCCAGCTTTGTGTCCTGAAGAGAAGTGCAGTTCTATCTACTAAGACTGGTGCTGTTGTCTTTCTCTACTTCATCGAGGAGGGTAATGCCAGGTTTAAAACTGGTGCAGTTGTGCATATGGGTGAGTGTGATTATGTGCCAGGACCACATCACCTGAGCCAGAAGCTCTCATCAGCCTCAGGTGGCACTATGTGCTACGTGACTCAAAGGACATATGGTATAATCCAGTCCACTTGGGCACAAATGCAGTCTCTTTTGCCATCCTTCACCTCCCCACATCACAACAGCCCAGTCTCCATGCCCAGGTGTCTCTGGGAATCATGCTAACAGGCCCTAGGACCAGGGAGAGGACATAGTGCCAAAGTCATTGCAACAGGAAGAAAATATCACGGGCAAAAGCAAGACTTCTGCCACCCCTGTCCTCCAAACTCCAGATAAGTCTTCCTTCCCCTCCCTAGGCTGGGGTTATGCAGAGTTGAGAGATGTGGTGTTACAAGCTGTCATCTCTCTGCTCCTAAAAGCTCTTCTATACTCTGCTTTACGATGGTGAAGCTGTAACTTTGCAACTCAGTTTCCTTGTTGCCAACAGCTCCCTGCCAGGTCCCGCTAATAAGGAACACTAAAGGGAGACCGGAAGACGGGAGGATGGAGAAGGGTCATACTCCTGTGTATTTGCTGTTGCTGTCAGCGTTACCCTGGCAGCAGAGTTGGGTCCAGTTTCCAGTGTTTCTCTATAATCCCGCAATCGACCCATCACACCCCATCAGAGGTAACTTAGACCTTCCCTCTGGGCTCTTGTGGTTCAATGGCATTAGCTCATGCCCCCTCCTCAGAGATTTGAGTCCCAGCTCTGTGAGACCCCTCTTCCAGGGTGCTGAGTTCTGATCTCTTCCCTTTGTTCTCCCAGTCCTAGGAGTGGTAGCTGTTTCCTGCAGTTACATGTTTGCATGACATCAGTGTTCTTTTTCTGCCTTTTCAGTCCTTTGGTAGCCGTCCAGCCAATTCCCTATATTAAATCCCCTCATTGGCTGCTAATAGGTACGGGTTTTCTCTTTGGTGTGATGAAAATTTTCTGGAATTAGATAGTGGTGATGGTTGCACAACCTTGTGAATATGCTAAAAACCACTGAGTTGTACACTTTAAAAGGGGGAATTTTATGACATGTGAAGTACACCTCATTAATATCATAAATACTTTATGTTGAATTACCTGACTGGAAATTGATTAATAGAGCATTAATCAAGGAGAGCATGGTGTCTAATTTTATGTGTCAACTTGGCTGGGCCACAGTACCCAGATCTGTGGTCAAACGTTATTCTGAGCGTTTCTGTAGGGGTGTTTTGGATGAGATTAACATTTAAATCGGTGGACTTGGAGTAAAATAGATTGCCCTCCGAAATGTGGGTAGGCTCATCCAGTCGGGTGAAGGCCTGCACAGAATAAAAAGACAAGTCTTCCCCAAGCAAGGGAGAATTCTCCAGCACACTGCCTTTGGACTTCATCTGCCAATCTCTTCCCAGTTCTACATCAGACAGCCTTCAGACCTGAACTAGAACATCTGCTCTCCTGGGTCTCCAGCCTGCCAGCCCAACCTGCAGATTTTGGACTTGCCAGCCTCCAAAAATATGTGAGCCAATTCCTTATAATAAGTTTTTCTTTATATACACACACACGTCCTGTTGGTTCTATTTCTCTGGAGAATCCTAATACAAAAGCAGCTGTTGGCAGTCCCAGGGAGAGGAGAATGAACCTTGCTGAGACCCTAGCAGATAGATTTGTGGGATCGTGCAACCACGGGATGATTGCCAGGAGCTCGAGAGAGGAGGAGAGAGGGACTTTTGGAGACCATTGACTGAGGAGTAGAGGGACAATAGACATTTAATGATGCTTCCCTGACTTAATGATATTGATGATGTAATAGATCTCCCCGCTCTTTGAAGCCTTGGTTCTCTGTAAGTCCTTTGGAACTCAAATACCACCCCAGAGAAAGTGGGATGAAATTAATTAACTGAAATTAAGTTTATACTACCCCAGCAGAGCTCCAAAGAGAAATTCAGGCCAGTTTTGAGAATGTTAGAAAAAGTGTCCTTCCTTGTACATTCGCGCTTGTGAATTGGGATTCACAGGCACTTCACAAACATTTGCTTTTATTTGTCTACTTTCAAGATACATGTTGGCATTTTGTGGTATGACATGAAATGACTTTTCAGAGATAGAACCTTCATTTGTAACTTTGCCACTCAGTGTCAGGGCAGCTGTGTATCAAGGTTATTACGGTGGCTGGCTATGGGCAGAATGTTTGTGGAACTTACAAAATATAATCTAAGATTGATGTAGAAGAATAAAAGTCCCCAAATAGCTGTCAAGTTTGAAAAATAAGAGCAAAAAGAGAGAACACAATTTATCAGACAGAAAGATATGATAACATATGGCAAAGCCATGGGTAGTTCCTGTGCAGGAATGGGCAAATAGATATATATGGAAAGGAGAGGGACCCTGGAAGCAGACCCCTGGACATGGGAGCATGGTGTGCGACAGAGTGCCACAAATACCTGGGGGAAGAAAAGACTGTTCTTTAGATGGCATTGGAAAAACTTACTCTATGAAAAAAAAAAGTTGAATGCCTATTTCTTGTCCTATACAAAGGTAAACCCCACTTAGATTTAAGAGCTACATTTGAAAGGTGAAGCTATAGAGTTAACAGAAGAAATTGTTGAAATACATCTTTGCAACTTGATAGCCAAAAACTTCTTAAATGGGACCCTCAAAACCTCTCTTCTTAGGGAGAACAATTAATGCATTTGATGATATCAATATTAAAGATTTTGTTAAATGATCTTCATAGATGATGTTAATAAAGAGATGACAGATTGGGAGGTGTTTTTTATGATGTCAAAAATTATTGGGACAAATGGGGAATGTTGAATATGAACCCTAAATCAGACATTAGTGGTGTATAAATGTTAAATTTATTGAGTGGGGGAATTTTATTATCGTTTATGTAGGAGAATGTCCTTGTTCGTAGGAGATTTACACTGAAATATTTAGTGAAGTGTCTGAAACATTGGTAATCACAGAAAGGAGAAAATAAAGCCAAAATGAGATACACATTACACACATCAAGTTGACAAAAATAAGAAAGCCAGGTTATGCCAAATGTTGGGGAGGCCATGGGGAACCAGAAACCATGATCTCTATAGTCTAGAGGTCTTAAAGGGCAATCTGGCAGCGCAGAACGAAACTGGGCATACGTGTACCCTAGCACCTAGCCACCTGCTCTCAAATGCCAGAGAACCTCCCTGGGACTGAGTTGGTCACCATAGTGTTGCTTATCTTAGGGAGGATGTGAAGCCACCTAGGGCCTATCCCCAGGGGATTGGATCAGGCAAATGAGGTAGATACCTACTAGTCAGGGTCCACTTCCTACCCAAGCCTTATTAGAATCAGAAGCCAGAACTTCTGAAAGACCTGGAGAGAGGGGCCAGAAACAGGAGAATGGGCAGGTGGCAGGGGGAACCTGTGGGAGGATTCAGGAGTCAGGGGTCTGGAATTAGTTTGAGTTGAGGAAAATAAATATAATTATATTTTTGCATGTTTAAGTTTATGAGTAGAGCTTTACTCCTGTTATACTGTCATTAGCAGCTGTTAGGTTCCCTAACTCCCCAGGAGCCAAATGGAAAGATAATGCTTAACCCAAAAGGACTGGATCCATAGTGGTGGAATTTTAGGCAGAGGACAGTCTAATGGGGGGACACTTTTGTATGATGGTAGTAGGAAACCCATGGTGTAGCACACATGAAATTTTATGCATGGCCTAAAAAAGATTTTCAGAAATTCTAGAGCTTCTTTTTCTTAAGCAAAATGTATAATGGTGTCCTAAAAATAAATACCCACTGTTTAGATGGATGCTAGCAAGGTCTTAGCAGTGTATGTGAAGGTCTTTTCAGGGAAGAAAAATAGATCAGTGTTCATTTACTGTGTAGGAAAAAAAATCCCTCAAGTTTTAAAAGATTAATGTATCAGTTCTTTTTGCAGGTGTTGATTGTTATCTTGTAGCACTCAAAGGAATTTAAATTCCAATGCCTTTGTCTCTCTTGATGTAAAGTAAGGGACAGATATTGAACTTGCTATAACCAAGGGTGAGGACGCAGAGTATCCTCTGTCTAGCATCAAAAGAGTCTTTGCTTGTTGAATTTATGCAGGGACAAAACCTTGGGAAGAGAACTCTCTGAGCAGTGAGCATGTCTGAGAAAAACCTGTTCCAGTTCCCGTCCCCCTGAGACCTAGGCCAGGGTGAGAGGGAGAAGTGAACTTGGACTGAGCTGAAACCATGTGTCAGGGCCCTGGGCTAGGCATCCTATGAGGTCTGGTTTGTATTTCTCACACTTCCCCTCATGAAGCAGGCATCGTTCCCACCCAGCTTACAGATAAGAACACTGAGGTCCAGAGGGAATAAAGCAGCTGGCCCGAGGTCACACAGCCAGTCCACGAGCATGCTAGGATTCCAACGCCAGGTGGAATTCCTACCGCACTGGGCTGCCGCGCTCAAACAAAAACTGAAAAATATTCTGAAGCTTTATACCAGGCCTCAACAGGGCTCCAGCTAGTTTGAGCTTGTCCTAAAGATGTCCCCCACCCTTCTTAAGATGCTTTGGCATTCTGACACAGTCAGCAGAAAATAGCTGCAGGAGCAATTACTGCCCCAAATTGAATCTGTAAATTTCAGGTCATTCAGATCTCCATTCCATATGCAGACTTTATTAATACCGCAGCTTCAGGTTCAAAATGTCATGTTCACTGAAAAATAGGAAAAAAAAAACCCAAAACAGTCCATTGTAGCCATTGGGGCTCTTGCAGAGTGAGGCTCAGCTGCCAGGGACACTTACCAATTGCCCAAAGAGATGAAGCTGGAGGAAATGCAGTCTGGCTTCCAAACCTTTAATAGGCTATGATTTTGAGGCTCTTTGCCTCTAACCTTTCAAAATTCCTGCTCTGCAGGGAGGAAGAGGCATCAACTAGAGATCAAGGTTGATGAAAAGCTGAATATTCAAACTGACATTCACCAAGAATGATGAGGGAGGGAGCTTTAATGGCATAACAAACGATTCTCCTGAAAGAAAATGTCAGGCAGGCAATTTTTTTCCTTGGACTTTCTTTCCTCATCATCTCCGGCCCCCCTCCCACAATCCACCCACACACACTTAAATTTTGGCTTATTTAAACTTCAGGAGAGTTGCCAGCCAGGCCGGAAGAAGTGAAATTAGGACAGTTCCAAAGCCTTGGTTTTCAGACACTAATAAATTAGGTGAATGATAAGGCATTGGTGAAAACCTGCAAAGGGGCCAATTTTAAAGTGATTCTTCCTGCCTGCGTCAGCACTGGCTTTGGTGGGGTCTGGGATCATGGTAGAGAATCTCTCGGGTCATGGGAGTATGCTCTGCATTCTGGCATATCTGGGGATGGAGAGGTAAAATCCCATCCTGAAGTGGATTCAATGTAATTAGGTCCAACAGAATTGTTCTGCTTCCAGATGAAATGTTTGTTTCAAACAGATCAGCTTTGCAAGGATGTCACTGAAAACCCCGACTGTCCTATTAGGAGATAACAAGTCTGTGTGCAGTTAGTCTGTGGCTCATTTGGCTTTGCCTGGTGTTGGATTTTGTGTGATTATGGGGTCCTCCCTTGGGTTTTTTCTCCAAAGAGGGAAATGACTCATGTACTATGGCCTCGTTATTTACAGGAGAGTGGCAAGATCTCATAAAGAAGGTTCTAAATGTTAATGTTTCAAATTGAGATGGTAAATTTTTGCAGCCTGTTCTATTTACCTATATTCTATGTTTGTTCTGTCATCCCTATCTGTCTGTCTATCTATCTACTTACTTACCTACCTACCTATCATGGTCTAAATGTTTGTGTCACCACCACATTCATATATATATATTTTTTTTCCAGTATGCGGGCCTCTCACTGTTGTGGCCTCTCCCGTTGCGGAGCACAGGCTCCGGACCCGCAGGCTCAGCGGCCATGGCTCACGGGCCCAGCAGCTCCGCGGCATGTGGGATCTTCCCGGACCGGGGCACGAACCCGTGTCCCCTGCATCGGCAGGCGGACTCTCAACCACTTTGCCACCAGGGAAGCCCCACATTCATAATTTGAAATCCTAACCTCCAAGGATGATGATATTAGGAGGTGGGGCCTTTGGGAGGGGCTTAAGTCTTGAGGGTGGAGCCCTCATGAATGGGATTAGTGCTCCATAAAAGAGGGTCCAGAGACATCCCTAGCTCCTTCCACCTTTCAAACAGTAAAATGGCACCGGCTATGAACCAGGAAAGGGCCCTCACCAGACCATGTTGGTGCCTTGATCTTGGACTTTGCAGCCTCCAAAACGGTGAGAAATAAATTTCTGTTGTTTATAAGTGGTATTTTGTTATAGCAGCCTAAACAGACTAAGACATCATCTTTCTTCTCCTTCTTTTCCTTCTCCCCTATCTATCTATCTAATCATTCAGCAAAATACTTAATGAGCTCCTACTATCTTCCAGGTCATAGGAAAAGCCCAAGACAAGCTGTTTTGAAGACCCCAGGGACCAACACTTGAATAACCTCCCAGAACTTATTAAAAATGCA